AGAGAGAGAGAGAGAGAGAGAGAGAGAGAGAGAGAGAGAGAGAGAGAGAGAGAGAGAACCTGAACCACTTATACAGCAGTTAAACCAGAATTACTACTCACTAAAACATTTTCTTGCTTTCAGCTTACTTGTCAATGGAGAGCTATTTCATTTCATTTCATCATTGTCTTTGAATAACATTTAAATCCTTTCTAGGATAGAAACCATTTGGGGATAGGAACTGAAAAGTAAGTACACACAAGAGTATTTTGTGCATACATTGCCAAATCCTAGAATAGAATAGAAATCATTTTTTTTTTTTTTGTCTTTTGAGTCAGTCTTTAATTAAGTAACCATTTGGTCAGTTTAGAGTTAGTCACATAGGCATTCGGTTGCTATTTGATACTACATGTAAGATTTTAGGCCATGAAGCACAATTTACTCTTCTTCTTAGCAGAGAAGAAATATCTTGTTAAATTGGATCAGGGGACTGTTCAGTAGAGTTTAAACAAGAGTCCTATGAAGTGTTTTGTTGTTGTTCGGTGGTTTTATCCTCTAAGAAGTTGTCTTGCCAAGAAATAATTTTACATTAGGGGCCTAGCATCATAAAAAGTGAGGCTCATTTAAAGTAGTTTCCTTACTTGAATTCTGACATAATTCAAGTCCCTACCATTTATTTTATAATGAGTCACAGTTACTCTTTGGTATATCTGAAGTTATTTGCATACTACCACAAGATGTTTTGAATACTATGGAAAATTTTAAAAAGGCTTTGGGGAGGGAGGCTAAATGTGTTGCTGAGGGCCTATTATGCTCCCATGGAAGTTTTGCAAAGGCAGCATGTGGAGTCCTGGAGTGCCCCAGATGCCCAGTGTTATAAATTTGGGACCTCTCTGTGATGGGTTTTCTGAAAAAAAAAAAAAAAAAGCAAGTTGATCTAGTAACAAAGAAAGTCAAAAAGGAAAACAGTGTCTTGGAAAGTCAACAGGAATGAGAGTCTAAAAATGATGTGTTAGATGTGACTTTGTAACTCCAGTAGCAACATCTGGGAAGGATAACTTCTCTCTAGTCTTCCACATTCCATTCCTAAGGGCACACCCTCCATCATGCCTGGACAGAATATCCCACATTTTTGAGTGACTTTAGCCAGGGGAAGTGTACACAGCAATTCATGAGGGGAATTCCATTATTAAAATTTAATATCTGAACAGTTAAGAAGTGTGCACCCATCAGGACACATGGACTGTTCCCCTGAAGTGTTACCTTGGAATTGCAGAGCTAGATGGGCCTGGTTGCTCAGAGTGTGGGATTCTTGGGCTGGGAGTTTAAACCCCTGCACACTCACTGCGAACAGTCCCAACAGCTTCAGCCCACCGGGGGAGAGATGCAAGCTATTTCTCCTCATCTAACTGCCTGCAATCTGAGCTCCCGCGTCCTCAGCCTAAGAATTACATCATCAGCACCTGGCACCTCACTGGCCTATTCGCGCAGCTCATCCGGCAAGCCAGTCCCTGCCCCGGTTGCAAAGGTGAGGTCCACAATTGCTCCGTAGACAAAGTAGGGACATCAATCTGGAGGGTACCTGAGTTGAGCAAATCCCTGCCAAGGCGAGAGGAACCTTTTCTCTCTAAGGCTACAGGAGCTTTTTGTGTGGTGAGACAAGGGAGTTTTGTCTAGGAAAGTAAGAAAGGACGAAAGAGGACCCGAGAGAGTGTTATTGGCTCCTCTACGACCTTCTCTGGAGCTCTTATACCCACCAAAGACTTTAAAAACTCCGCGGTGTTGCTGGGAAAATGGGCAGTGAGACCTTGCAGCTCTTCGGTTTCCATCTCTGGGGTCCCTCCTCTGCCCTAGGCAAAAAGCAGGGAAACAGGAGAGGGGGCGGAGTAGTATTAAGAGGGGTATTGAAGAGGGAAGAGGGGGAAAATTGGGATACAGAGGTTCCCTTCTCTCCTTTAAAATTTTTTCTCCCCCATAAAGGGCCAGCTCAGTATCCTCACCTCAGGGAAATTCAACATTCGAGCTTCGGATAAGAAGAGGAGGATGCTGGGCTCTCGGTCCAGGGCCGGGGGAGGTGGGGCTCTCTCGCGATCCTGGAGGCTGCTTGTTCCTTGAACAACTGTGGGACCTTGTGAGGTTTTCCAAATGGGAAATGGCTCCTGCTTAGAGAAAGTGAAGCAGAGACGGGTGGATCAAGCTACAAGGGTGCGCTGACAGTCCAGGGCACAGACCTGGGAGCAAGGTCCTCTTCTAAGCCCAGCAGTTTCAGGGCCTGGGACTAAAAGGTGAGAAGGTGGATTAATTATTCATTAGTGACCTTTCCCTAGGCTCCCTCCCTAATGGCTGCACTTAGTAATCACCAGGTGGAGCAAAGAGATATTGAAAGTCCGGTCTCCTAACTCCACCCTCTTGGGAGCCCTGGACTGCAGGAGGCTCTGAATTTTGAGGATAGGGTTTTGTTCTACTTCATCCCTTCTCCCTTTGCAACCTGGGAGTGGGAATGAGCGCATAGGGTATTCTCCATTGTAGGTCACAATTGCAAGAAAAATCCGGGTTTCCTCCTTAATGGGCATCTTCCAAAACAAACCAGGAGCCTACCTTGCATTTCAGCAGTCTCCATTCTAAAGACTGCTGGGGAGCCCGGGTGCACAGGGCTGCTGGAGAGCCCCCTGATGCTCAGCCCCATCTTGCTGCCAGAGCGACCTAAGGAACCTCGGATACCGTATCTGCGGGTGCCTAAAGGGTGGCACGTCCGGGCTTCTCCCTTCTCCTCCAGTGAATGAGGCAGATAAAAACTCTATAGGACCCACACCTGCAAAACACCCTAGAGTACTCCCGATGTTTCCTTCAAAATAAAAACAACTATACTTTAAAATAAAGGTACGCAAACACCACATTTATATCTTCATTTGCCCTCTGCGGCGACCATTAAGGCCTTTTCTTTCTTTCTTTCTTTTTCAAAAGCAAATTTCGCAGGGTGGTCCAGCCTAAGAGATTCCTAGACCTATGACCTCCTCCATCCCCAGCTCTGCCAAATGCTTCCCCTGTCCAGCACCTCCGGGCGGGCATCTGCCTGTGCAGTCTCCTAGTCTATTTCCTCCCTAGGATTTTCTAATCCTCCAAGGTCTCCCCACCCAAGACCTCCAAGGAAGCAGCCGGTTCTGTAGAGATCGGTAGCAACCCATCGCCACAGGAGTCTCAATCCAAGTCTAACGGCCCTAGGAGCCCAGATGAGCAAAGCCAGCGAAAGCCGCGATCCCCAGCCAAGTGGGTGACCTGGCGGACCCGACTCTCAGCAGCCACTGCTGCGCTGTTATTCTCCAGTGACTTTGAGGAGGCACACAGATGGGGCACGCCTCCGGGAACGCACTCCGGACCAGCTGGGGCTCCCAGGAACTCAGCGCTGATGGATGGTCTCATTTCCTAACTTGATGGGCCAGAACCTGGGTTGGCCTGGCGGGCGGGTTTGGGTGGGTGCAGGAAACCAGCGCTCGGCGTTGGGCGTTGGGAGGAGTGGCATATGATAAAGAAAAAATCTCAGATCCATTCCTAATTAGAAGTTATCCCTTCCTCAATTTTTCTGTTTGGGGAACAGGAAGATCCTCATACGCTGTCGCAAAGGACAGCAGAGTTGAGCAAGGTGGTGGCCTTTCCTCCTTTGCACTTTGGGCTTAGGCATACCCCGGCACCACGCTATCACCACGCATTCTTTCCCGTGGGAGACTGAGAAAGAACGGAATTCACTCTTGGAATGCCAAGAAAGATCTGCAAGGAGACTTGAAAGCCATTAAAAAAAAAAAAGAAGAAGAAGAAGAAAAGAAAGAAAGAAAAAAGAAAAACAAACCCTGACCCTCCACAATCCGGGCGGATCTTCTCTCCATAGAAGGGAACTCCGGCTTCCTGCACCTTAGGTGGAATCCGGGCGGGAGGCGGAACCTCCTCCCAGTCACTACAATAGCAAGATTGGATGATGATAGCGGGCCTTGTGTCCTGGCAGCAGTGAAGAAAGGCTGGGAAAGGCTGCATGGAAAAATCTGCAATCCCCTCTGTCTAATCCCCTGAGCCACGGGCTGAATTTAAGTGAGAGGACACCAGGAGAGGGGCCAGGTCACTAGGGGTTCTGGGTCATAACTTCTTTTCAGCTTCCTGGAATTTTCTCCCAGGTCTCAGAAACTTAACTCCTACTCTGGTACAATGCTTTTATTCTAAACTGGATCTTGGAGGGCACTAAGGGCATCAGGCCTGGGTTCTCAAGGAACCCCCAATCTGGGCCCATACCTTGACACCATATGTCTTCCCAGGCTGGTATAGGTAGGAAAGCTGCAGCTCTCTAGAGGACCAGGAAAGCCCTTATGGTTCAGGGCCTGAAACATTTTACTGCTCAATGAACAGAAGTATTGTTTCTTGGACCAAGGGCATCACCATCACTTGGAGATGGTAAGGTCTCAGGTAGCTTGACTACTTCAGAACCTGTATAATAAAAAGATATCCAGAGAACCTGTGCAGAATTTAGGTTAGTCTAATTTATATAGCCTGGGTTTGGCTATTGCCAGCTGTTCAGCCCTGTTTCTCAGCCTCCTCTTCATCATGTATCAAATGGGATTTGCTTCGCAGTTCCTGAGCTGTTATGCACTCCTAGACACACATCAAGCCAATGAAAATTTTAACCTATGATTGGCAAAGCCCAGGCAGTTTTGTTTTTAAGTGACCTCCTCCCCCACCTCCATAATTTTGATGTTACCATCTCTACTAGTATAGAAACACTCATTGGCAAATGAGTTGGGATCAGCTGGGCTGAAGCACAGGCCCTATGCAAAACCACATGTACAATGGTAAAGGCCCCTGGACTCTGTGGCCGGACTCATTCTGACTCCAGCAAGTATGACTTTGGGCCAGCTTATTAGCCTTACTGCATCTCAGTTCCAACCTATAAAATGAAGTTGATAATAGTGCCTACTATAAAGAGTACTGTGAAGATTTAGAATCGAATTTAATAAATGTGAGTTTAAAAGGCCAAATTCCTCAGTCTATCTACTAAGGTTTGAATATGGTTTTCCCCACCTCATTTCATGTTGAGGCTTGGTGCCCATTGTAATTGTGTTGAGAGGTAGAAGGGCCTTTAAGAGCCATTTGACATTACAGAGGTGCTCATGAAGGATTGATGACGTTTCTGTGAGAGTGGGTTATTAAAAAGAGAGCCTGCCATCTTTGCTTGGTCTCTCTTGCATGTGTGCTCTTGCGTGGGCACATGCTTGACCTTTCTGTTTTTTCAATTAGAGCTCCTCTCCAGAGGTCAAGCAGAGATGCTGGTGTTATGCTCTTGGACTACCAGAATTATGAGATAAATAAACCTCTCTTCTTTATAAGTCACACAGCTTCAGGTATTTGGTCATAACAACACAACATGGACTAAGGTACTCTCATTGTTGTTGAAAATGGCAGAGGGCTGGAAACTACTATTTATCTCATTTTATACCCCCAAAGCAGCACTCTTTCAGAACAACACAGCTTGGTTTTCTTTCAATATTAACATCCAATTTAGAGCATTTTAGCATAAAACCAATACTTTAAATCACTTAGCAACTTGGTAAACCTTATCCTTTGCAAAGATTGTGGTTTTTTTTTTTGTCACCTTCAGTAATTTCATTCCTAGCTTATCAGTTTTAGAAGAATTAGGGTGAAGTGTTCCCTTAGCTGTGGGTTTTACCAGGAGGGCCACATGGGAGGGCCCCCCCCAAAGATAGGTTTTGGGGCTGAATATTTGCACACCTAACAAGTTCCCAGATTATGCTTACACTTATGCCAGAGGGGACCACATTTTGAGAAACACAGTCCCAAGTGAATGCTCAACTCAAAGAATCTCAGAAATAGGAACAGCAGTACTGTCTGACAGAGATACTGCAACAAATGACATATGTAATTTTAAATATTCTGGTAGCCACATGTAAAAATATATCTATCTATATCTATCTATCTATATGTCTATATCTATATGAAAAGCTAGGCAAGGTGCACACACCTATAATCCCTGCAACTCGGAAGACTGAGGCAGGAGGATCACCGAGTTCAAGGCCAGCCTTAGCAAATTAGTGAGGCCCTAAGCAACTTAGTGAGACCCTGTCTCAAAATTAAACATATGTAATACACAAAACCCAAGATTGAATATACATACACACACACACACACACGGAATTGAACCCAGGGACACTTTACCACTGAGCTACAATTTCAGCCCTTTTCATTTTTAAGACAGGATTTTGCTAAGTTGCTGAGGGCCTCAGTAAATGCTGTGGCTGGCCTCCAACTTGCAACCCTCCTGCCTCAGCCTCCCAGGTCACCAGGATTACAAATGTGTGCCATTGTGCTCAAATTTAATATTTTATTACACTAATATATTCAAATATTAATATTTCAACATCTAATAAATAATAAACAGTGCTGAGATATTTTGCATTTCATTTTTGTATTAAGTCTTATAAACCTGATATTTCTAATATGGAACAGGCACTTTTAAGTACTTAAGAGCCACAAGTGTCTGGTGGCTTCGGTATTAGTACAGGTCTGAAAATTCATTCAACTAGAAAGAAAAGTAGAACTAAATTTCATTGTTCCCATGGAAACTGTCCAGAAATACACAGAAACCAGAATGTGCAAATAGTTCTGCCTTGCTCTAATGCATTAGTCTGTCTGAGCTGCCCCAACAAAATATCTTACATCGGGTGGTATAAACAACAGAAATTTGTTTCTCAAAGTTCTGGAGGATGGAAATATGAGATGAGGGTGCCAACATGTTTGGGTTCCTGATTTTCTGGGTTAGCCACGCCTTTTTTTGTAGATGTGTCCTCACATATCAAAAAGCAAGCTCTGGGGTCTCTTCTTACAAGGGTGCTAATCCTACCATGAGGGCCCCACCCTCATGACATCTTCTAAGTCTAATTATCTCTCTAACACCCCATCTCCAAACACCATCTTCTGTTGGTTTAGAGTTTCAATGTATGAATGGTGGGGGGCAAGATTTAGTTCACAGCACATGTTGTGTTTCTCCATAGGAAGCAAGAGGTATACGGAAAATGAAGCAGAGACAAAAATGGTGGATTCATGTGAGTCATTGGAATTAGGAGGCAGGGGGCCATTACACACTGATAGGATCATCAATTAGATTCACGTTTTGAATGTTCAGTAAGCATCTCTTGTTTTGTTTCTCCTTCAGTACAGACATCTGCTACAACTTTCTTGAACGAAACCGCCTCTGCCTTAGAGGAAAGGTTGTCAACTTTTATTGCATGGAACTCTGGCAGTGTTAAATCTGCCAATGGTTCCTGATTTAGGGGTTCATATCTGACCTGAGGATGGAAGATGAAGTATTTCCCAGGGCTTGTGGGAAAGGTGTTCTTGTTCTTCTTAGAAGTTGCCTAAGAGGATATAAGGTCTGGAGCTGCCAGAAATGTTTTTACCAGGAGGAAACAGACTTTCTAGTAACAGGGGGGAGAGGGAGAAAGAGGAGGAAACCAATGCTATGGGACTGTGATTCCTTGACTCAGCTCACTGGAAGCCAGCTATAAATCA